CCGTCTGCCTGTGGCTCGAGGCACATGGTGTAGGTGGGGGTGGGGTGGGTGGGTGGTGTCGGGAGATAGGGGAGCGTTGGGAGGGACCACCTTGGGGGATTAGGGGGGGATGGGGAATGGCCTATACACTACAGTACAGTAATTACTATCAATTTTAGAACAATTCATCATAGCCAAAATCAAAAGAAATACTAGTAATAATGTAATAAAAAATTCCATACAAGTTTCCTAAAAACAATTTGCACAGGCTGAAGTTTCCTTCAAAAATATATATTTTTTTTTCCTCCTGGCGGCCTATGTAACGTGCCTCCTCCCTGCCCCGACTGGACCCGCCCAGGCCTGGTCAAGTCATGTGCTCTCTAACCTCGTGTTACACCACAGTGCCGCGCCATTAGTGAAATATTTTTTTAAATAACTTTTTTATTTTCATAGTAACTTTAAACATTTTTGGCCAAGACTATGTCTGGTAGCAGCATGAATCATTCTGGAGGTGGTAAGAGGAAGAAGGTTGTCCTAACACTTAAGGACAAGCTACGTGTTATACAACTTTGTGAACATGGCCGGTCGACCTCAAGTGTTGCCAAGGAATTTAATATAGGCACTAGTACTGTTTCTGATATAAGGAAACAAAAAGAGAAACTTATGCAAGTCATTTCAACCTGTGAAAGTGAAGGTGCAAGCACTAGCAGAGGTTGTGGTAGAAAAACTATGAAAACTTCTACGCATGTGCAGTTGGATGAGTGTGTACAAGTGGTTTGCTCAGCACCGCACAGCTGGCATGACAATTTGCGGCCCAGAAATACAAAATGCTGCAAGCAGATTTGCTGAAAGCCTTGGAATAAAGAATTTCGAGGCGAGTGAAGGGTGGGTTGCAAGGTTCAAGGGTAGGCACAATATTGTGAAGAGGAAAATTGTCGGTGAAAAATTGAGTGCAGATGAAAGCAGTGTAGAACCATTTAAACATAAATTACGAGAATATATTGTGGCAAATAATATATATTCGTATCAAATTTATAATGCAGATGAAACTGGGCTGTATTGGAGGAGTTTACCAGAAAAAACTCTAGCAATGAGGAGTGAGGGTTGTGTGCCAGGACGTAAGATTTGCAAGGACAGGCTCTCAGCCATGATGTGTGCGAATGCCGACGGCACAGACAGAATCACGTGTGCAATTGTTGGCAAATCTAAGAAACCAAGAGCCTTGCAACATTGCATGGACAGACTGCCAGTGAAATATTATAACTCAAAGAATGCATGGTTTACACAGGAGATCTTTCTTTCCTGGTTTCATGACATGTTCTGCAGGGAAGTTCGTGCCTATCAAATTAAGAAACTCAAAATAAGGCCAAGCGAAGTTCGGGCTTTACTGTTGCTTGATAATGCGCCTGCCTACCCCAAAATTGACACGTTAACCTCACATGATGGCAAGATAACGTGTATGGCACTTCCTCCTAACACAACCTCTCTCATTCAGCCTATGGATCAGGGAGTTAGTTATCTGTGCCACGAAGAGGTTGTACACCAAAAAAATGCTAAATGAAGTTTTGGTGGTTTTGCCTCTTCCGGAAGATATTGAACTCGGTGTGGATAACAGGGCTAAAAAAAAACTTCAGAATTTGAAGAACTATACAATCAAGGAAGCCATCTATAACTGGGCCAAGGTATGGAGTGAATTAAAGGAATCGACTTTGAAAAAATCCTGGAAAAAACTCCTCACGTCTACGGTCAGAAATGAGGAGGATGAAAAAATGGATTTTGAAGGATTTACAGATGAAATCCATGGAATGTTTAGAAATGCCGGCGAAAACTTAGAAAGACAGGATGTGGTTGATTGGCTTGAACAAGATGCCAATGATCTAGGATATGGTGTGATGAGTGAAGACGAGATTCTACAGTCTGTTACTGGTGAGGTGGACGAAGAGGATGAAGAAGGCAGTGAAGAACCAACACCAATGACCACGAAATACAGTGTACTCATGACGTATGTTGACGGATTAATAAATTTTTCATCTAATTGTGCTCATCCAGAGGATGGAAACATGTATCCGTACCTTAGGCGAACAAAAGAGCTAATCATACAACTGGCCAGTGAACACAGAAGGCAAGCAACACTTGATTCATATATGGTACGAAAATCAAACCAAGCGCCTTCAACAAGTGAGGCGGCACGCGCAACCCAAGCGCCTTCAACAAGTGAGGCGGCACACGCAACCCAAGCGCCTTCAACCAGTGAGGCGGCACGCGCAACCCAAGTGCCTTCAACAAGTGAGGCGGCACGCGCAACCCAAGTGCCTTCAACCAGTGAGGCGCAACCCAAGTGCACAAGTGAGGCGCAACCCAAGTGCCTTCAACCAGTGAGGCATCCTCAGCAGACAGTGAGAACTAACTTTGCCTAATGAACTGTACAGTAATTTTAAGTGTTGATTTTAGTGTTGTGTTACTATAAGTTACATAAAATGTCAAGAATTTTTAACTTCAAGATATGTCATCAATCAAGAAGACGAACAACAAAAAGGTAAGTTGAGGTTTCTAGTTGAATATTTAATAATTATATGTGGCATGTCAATTCAAATTATGTTATTTGTAGTATAAAAATAGTTGGAAATGGTTAGTTTTGGACTCGTAGGTGAAAAAGTACCATTATCCGAAAAACGTGCTAATCTGGCTGGGGGTCCTTCCCATATAGTCCGGATGATCGAGTGGAGACAGTAATTACAAAAGAACGAAACAGTACCGAAAACCAAGAAGCAGCCCGGAAGAAGACCAACGTGTTCTAGAAAGGACTGGAGGTAAGCCTCACCGGAAGATGGCAGATGTTCCAATGACACGGAAAGTACCGAAGACCTTTCCCGAACCTTCGAGATCCTACAGAAGCAAGCACATAACACAAGGCTCATAAAGGCACAGCCGCACCCCAAGGCTAATGGTCATGCAGGACCCCGATACGAGGGAAACATGACCTCGACATGAAGGAGAATTCATATCCCAGAGAAGAAGGGTGAGAAACGGAGAAGAGTACCAACCGGCAGGATGAGCCCGAAGGGACAAGGAACTGAACCCGGGGAGGGGCCGTTGCTGAACAACTCTTATGCAGAGGGGGAAAGGAAAAACCTCACTCCCTGTAACCGCAAGCCCTGCTCAGAGAGTAAAAAACCCCAGCGGGGACCAACAGGGCCTAAGGCCCCCAAGTCAGCCACTCCCCAGCCCTGGGAACCTCCACGGCAGGACCCAGGGCCGAGTTGTCCCCCCCAAAGCCCCAGCCTCACAAGAAAAAACCGGGGCAGCTGGATAAATACTAAGGAAGGGAGCCCACTGACAAACCTATACATCATGGCTGGAGAACAGGCTCGAATGCCTCCTTCGCTACCCCGAAAGGGGAAATCCCTGAGACCGCCCGAGTCTCAAGACCATCAAAACCCCGCCCGACCCCAAACCCACAGACGGTAAGGATCTGGATGCAAGGAGGGGGGGGGGGCCAGACTAAACCACAACAGGGGAAAGACAAGGGGGCACAGATGGAAACAAAACCGAAGCGACCAACACCCCCCAAAAGTCCTGGTCACAACAACCAGCAGCAGCCTCGGGGCTCCCGGGAAGCAAACAAACTAGCACGTTGCAACCATCTGAACCCAACGTGCAACATTCATGCTGCCTGCACCTGTATAGTCAGCATAGAACTGGGTAACCGAGTCACAAACAACCAACAAAACTCGCAGGACTTTTGGTCAAAGGTGCCACTGACCCAACAGGCAGCAGACGAAGGCAAAAACAGCGAGAGTCACCCTGAGACAAGGGGACAGGAACCCTCGAACTCACACAAAGTGAGGGGGGTGTGACTCAGGGGTCACATCCATCAGACCCACACGTCCCCATGGGGATTCCCAGGGTCCCGAGATGGAACTCGCGCTCAGGGAAGCCCAGGCAGGGTAATGCTAACCGGCGCCCAAGTCGACCAAACAACTTTCTAAGAAATGAACCCCTGAGACGTGTACACTCACGGGGACCAAGCAGGGGGAACCACTGGAATAGAGAAGAGTACTCAGTACACAGGGGGCAATAACCAAGACAGATCCCCCCACCAGTCAGGCAAACAAAAAGAAAAAGAAAACCCAGCAAGAAGACAGAGTACCAAGGCGGAATAGAGCCGGCCGCTATTATTGGTGAAAACAAGCTGCGCAGTACCCTGCACCCCTTACCAGTGCAAACTGCCTCCTACCCTAAGGCGAACAACGAACAAGGGAGACAAAACACCCAAGCACACAAAGGGTGGCCGAAAAACCGAGCAGTTAACGGCCACGCAGAGGCAGAACCCAAGGAACCTGTGGAAGGTGGCCCCAAGCCTCAAGGGCAGTACTTACTGGGCACCTAGGGAAGGTAACCCTAGGCGCATGCAGCCCGAGTACTGAAGAATCACTCCTGGCTCGCACACCCCCTATAAGACAGCCACCACGCCACAAGGCACAGAGCTGAGACCAAGACTGGAGCCAGAGCACATGACTTCTGCCTAGCGCATCAGCCACAGAACTGGGGTCTTGGGTTGCTGGCGCAAGGGGTCTGGGGCTCCCCTTTCCCCCTCCCGGGGAGGGGGAAGCTGTACAGGCGGCGGCGCAGCAATGTGGTGACGTCTTGCTCGTTAGCTCATTTTTATTTTGGGAGTTTTGTCCACTAGTTCGGCTCTCAGTAGCAATTTCTTAACCAGAATAGGGGTTTATTTTGGGATGCTTACCTTTCTGGGTGCCTGACCCGGTCGATGGCAGACAAAGAATGCTTCCAACTACATGGAGGTTTCTACAGGCCATTGCTCCTCATGCCTCTCTGAGGGGGGGGGGCCCCAGGTTCTGGCTTGTGGTCCCCGGTAGGACTAAAGAACTCCATACACATGACTGATGCCAAAAGTCTGACATTAGCAATATCATCTTGGATAGATCCGGGGAGCCAACGGGACTCCCCGCAGAAAAGTTAGTATATTCAGTCAAAACATAAAAAAATGCCAAACTAACTTTAATATCCTCATCCATAACTGGAGTATCTTCTTTTCCAACTAACAATACTTCCACAGTCACTGCATGGTCTGATGAAGAGCCTGTGGCAGTCTTCCGTGAGTAGGTTGGATATGCTCTTGCAACACCACACACACTTGCAAAAAGGTCTGCTCGCTCACAAACAAGCTGTAAAAATATAGAGAGCAGAACAATATCATAAACCCAGATATGTTTCAATTACATGAGTGTGGGAGAGATTCAAGAAAGGCATCCTATGATCACCACCTCGAGATGCAAACAAAATAAAACAATGAAAGTGGTATGGGTGATTTAATAAATAGAGGAAGTAAAGACAGGTTCAGGTTGGAGTAATGAGCACAGGGTTGGGGGAGATAAGAGATAAGATAGTAAAGGTGGAATAGTAAGAGTAGGAGGAGGTGGTATGGAATGGCTGCTAACCACTGAGTAAATCACTAGCCTGCGATCAACATCAACGGCCCAAGACTTTTCAACACTTCCCCACACACATACAGGGCATAACTGTCTGATCTCTCGCAGTGTTCAAAAGAAAACTCAACAAGCCCCTACAAAGGATACACGATTAACAAGGCTGTAACTCTTATGTCAGGCTGTGAGCAGCTGCATTAAACAGCCTAGTTGATCAGACCAAAAATCCGGATATGTCGAGATGTTGATCCTTGGACATCAACATGTAATCAACAGATGAGTGCTGCTTCACATTCAACCACTTCTACATACAGCTCTGCAGAGTCTAAAGCAGCTCTAAATTCAGTGAAGTTTTTCTGGTTAAGTTTTCACCAAGTCATTAGTCATTTCTGAGTTTCACTATTCAATATCGATTCGTAAAGAGTTTCTTTCACTCAATGTCAATGTCAATGTCAATGGCTGTTAGTTTTCAGAGCTACCTGGTCGAGGACCAGGCCGCGGGGACACTAAAAGCCCCGAAATCATCTCAAGATAACCTCATCTCAAGATAACCTCATCTCAAGATAACCTCATCTCAAGATAACCTGCTCTAACTCCATTCGATGAAGCTTTCGTAGTGGTCCCTTTCCTTGAGTGGCTGACTACCTTCATGGCACCTCAACACTCTCTTGAGTCTAGGCCTTTGTGTTTGGCTTTCCATTTACACACAGTTGGAATTCATGTCATTGTCTCCAGTGATCATGCAGCAACATTTCTCATTGAATTTCGCTTGCTGGGTCGCTCTCACCAAATCTCACTTCTGTTACCAGGTTTGGTTTGTGCTAGCTGTATATGCACCTGTTGCATCTAGGATCCCTTATGGGTCTTTACTGGATAGAAGGTTTATTTCCTTGCTAGTTATCTTGCTGGTCAGACATGACATTTTCCACTAGATCCAAATATGATTCTGCTACTTCTAGCATTGGTTAAAAAGATTGTTTAATTCGTGTGTATGTCCATTGTCAGGTTAAGGTCTCGGGCAATCAAGGCCAGGTAGGTACAAGAGTGTGGGGCATGGAACATAGCACTGGAACCACTAAAAAACAGGTGCTGGAAATCACTGGTATTATTTGATGTGGGCCCACAGGACCCTTGGGAATTATACTATAGTTAATCAAGTGACTGCTTAGATATTACTGTACTGCTATCACTGTGAGGTGTCTACTAATAATACAGTCACTTGCGATGAACACTGCACCCAAAAAATTGATCACCAAGTGAAAGAGTATGGATACATTCCTCGGACTGGATAGTATCAATGATTGTGTACAGCCCTCTGACCTATCAATATATGACACACTGCAGGTGACAGTCAGGAGTTTTAATGTTCTCCTTTATCTTATACAGTAACTGGTCACTTTATTCCAGGAAAGACACACACAGAGATCACACTAACGTGATGCATCAAATGAACAAATTCACAAGGGCCGTGACGAGGATTCGAACCTGCGTCCGGGAGCATCCTAGTACCAGGCAATATGGCATGTGAGAAGAAATACAGATACACCAATATAATTTTTATATCTGCTGAACAGAAAACAGTATTAAAAGCACAGAAATACATTTCCTTTTGAGTATACTCAAATATACTTCATAGGAATTAACATACCATAAAACTCTTAAGAGCCCTCCACCTCTGCAACCACTTTTGGAGGCTGAGCCCCCCAGCCATGCTTGGGGGCCAAGCCCCCCGACCATATCCATATGGTTGCCCAAAATACTGTACATATTAGTGGCTTCAGGCGTCGTACGTACTAACCCTATCTAGAAATCCAACATTCTGTTTGTAATTCATTTTGAATGTATGTACTGTAATTTTAACTGAATAAACATTATTATTATTATTATTATTATTATTATTATTATCTGGTGGCTGACGCACCCTTCCCTGGGCATGTCCAGAGGAAGAATCCTCAACAATCTCTACAGGCCGGCATCAATGACAACCATGTTTATTGACATATTTATCATGGGTGTCAGTGAGCATCAAGATCTAATTTTTACAATTATCGTGGTATTTTTTTCTCATTTGTTTTTGGACAGGTACTTTCCCATATCCGTTTCTGAAAATAATCATACTGCACTTAGTACTTTATCATCACATATACATATACATACATACATATACATATATATATATATATATATATTATATACATACATACATATATGTGTGTCTACTATTCAGTGAGCCTAAACTTTGAACATTCCTACATCTGCTTGAAATTAACAAAACCCAAAATTCTTTATTTCATATTTTTGTTACTAAAAATATAAATTTCACTATGTGTCTCTCTAAAACAAATGCACCTAGATGTTGAAAATATTAGTCACAAACATTTACCCTGATGTTCACTTGTGGACATCAACCACATGGTTTAAATGCCAACGTCTAGAGACTGGTGACATCCCGAGACCAACACGCTTACTCCAACAATGCCAGGTTGGGTAGAAGTTACCATTACACTGACTGCTTTCTATGTCAACACCACAGTAATTCGAATTTCTGGGTAACTCAGCCAAAATTGCAGCCAAGTTTGACCATCTCTTGATTCACACAAATGCAAAACATGGAGCATAACTGTCGTGGTTACAGAACAACACATGGCTGATTATGTTTACAAGTACTGTACACAAATACATTTAAACATTACTTATAGTGTATGACAAAATGTGTACTACCTTGAGGTTACCTTGAGGTGCTTCCGGGGCGTAGTGTCCCTGCGGCCCGGTCGTCGACCAGGCCTTCTGGTTGCTGGACTGATTAACCAGGCTGTTGGACGCGGCTGCTCGCAGCCTGACGTATGAGTCACAGCCTGGTTGATCAGGTATCCTTTGGAGGTGCTTATCCAGTTCTCTCTTGAACACTGTGAGGGGTCGGCCAGTTATGCCCCTTATGTGTAGTGGAAGCATGTTGAACAGTCTCGGGCCTCTGATGTTGATAGAGTTCTCTCTCAGAGTACCTGTTGCACCTCTGCTTTTCAACGGGGGTATTCTGCACATCCTGCCATGTCTTCTGGTCTCATGTGATGTTATTTCTGTGTGCAGGTTTGGGACCAGCCCCTCAATTATTTTCCACGTGTAAATTATTATGTATCTCTCCCGCCTGCGCTCAAGGGAGTACAGATTTAGGCTCTTTAGTCGGTCCCAGTAATTTAGATGTTTTACTGAGTGGATTCTAGCAGTAAAGGATCTCTGCACGCTCTCCAGGTCAGCAATTTCTCCAGCTTTGAAAGGGGCTGTCATTGTGCAGCAGTACTCCACTCTAGAGAGCACAAGCGTTTTGAAAAGTATCATCATCGGTATAGCATCTCTAGTGTGAAAAGTTCTTGTTATCCAACCTGTCATTTTTCTTGCAGTTGTGACGGCTACTTTATTGTGTTCTTTAAAGGTAAGGTCTTCCGACATGAGTACACCCAGATCCTTTACATTGCCTTTTCGTTCTATGTTATGATTTGCCTGAGTTTTGTACGTGGTTTCTGTTTTTATATTTTCAATTTTTCCATAGCGCATGAGCTGGAACTTATCCTCGTTAAACACCATATTATTTTCTGTAGCCCATAGAAAGACCTGATCTACATCTGATTGGAGGTTTGCCGTGTCCTCTATGTTGCCAACTCTCATGAAAATCCTAGTGTCATCTGCAAAGGATGATACAGTGCTATAGGTTGTGTTCTGGTCTATGTCCGATATGAGGATGAGAAAAAGTACTGGAGCAAGCACAGTACCCTGGGGGACTGAGCTCTTCACGGTTGATGGGCTGGATTTTATTTTGTTGACTATTACACATTGGGTTCTGTTAGTCAGGAAATTGTAGATCCATCTGCCTATTTTCCCGGTAATTCCTTTTGAACGCATTTTATGTGCAATAACACCATGGTCACATTTATCAAAGGCTTTTGCGAAATCTGTGTAAATTACATCAGCATTTTGTTTGTCTTCCATAGCATCTAATGCCATATCATAGTGGTCCAGCAACTGCGACAGGCAAGAGCGCCCTGTTCTGAAACCATGTTGTCCGGGGTTATGGAGATGCTGTGATTCCATGTATTTTGTGATCTTACTTCTTAGCACTCTCTCAAAAATTTTTATGATGTGCGATGTTAGTGCTATCGGTCTGTAATTTTTTGCCTCTGCCTTATTTCCTCCTTTATGGAGTGGTGCTATCTCTGCTGTTTTTAGTATGTCAGGGATAACGCCAGTATCTAGGCTTTGTCTCCACAGAATGTGAAGGGCCTGCGATAGTGGTTTTTTACAGTTCTTGATGAATATGGAGTTCCAAGAATCCGGGCCTGGTGCAGAGTGCATAGGCATACTGTTTATGGCTTCTTCAAAATCTAGTGGGGATAGGGCGACGTCTGATATATGATTTGATGTTGGTATCATATCCATGAAAAATTCATTTGGGTTATCAATCTTTAGTGCATTTAATGGCTCGCTGAAAACAGAGTCGTACTGCTTCCTCAGTAACTCGCTCATTTCTTTGTTGTCATCGGTGAAAGTTCCATCTCCCTTTCGCAGGGGCCCGATACTAGATGTGGTTTTTGATCTTGATTTTGCATAGGAGAAAAAATATTTCGGATTTCTCTCTATTTCACTGATGGCCTTTTGCTCTCTTTGCCTCTCCTGGGTTTTGTATGATTCTTGTAGCTTGAGTTCAATTGTTTCTATTTCTCTACCTAACCTTCTTCGCCGTTCTT